AAAAATGTGTTTCAGCGTGAAGCTACTGCATTTCCTTCATTTGAGTATTAAATGGTGTCAAAGTCATCACATAACATGCTTACTACATCTCTACATCTTTAACAATCCTTTATATGTCGCAATACAATCATATCTGGCAGAAACAAAGTCAAGCCAATCGTACTTCAGTATCATTGAGCAGTTAAATGTTTCATAACCAACATCCTACCTTCAACAGTTCCATTTCTGTAACTGACAAAGAACATCTCACAAGTATGTATTGTTATTGATGTGATTGGGTTGTGTGTTTGTGTTAGACAACAGAAGCCGGACAGGCATACAAAGTGGCCTTAATCCCTGCTGAGTCCTCACGCACATAATGTTGTCAGTTACCAGAGCGACCTGTTAGGAGTAATGTGTGACCTAAATTCACATTGGGGGCAAAAGTATCAGCACAATTGTGCATTCTTCCACTTAAAAGATGGAGAGAGGCCTGTTATTTCATCCTAGGTATCTCACTATGAGAGACCAAAATGGAAAAACAATTCTGATTTTTAAAGATTTATTGCAATTATGGTGGAAAATAAGTATTTGGTCACTACAAACGAAACAGATTTTCTGGCTCTCACAGGACCTGTACACTTTCTTCTTTAAGGGCTCCTCTGTCCTCCACTTGTTAACTGTATGGCACCCTGTTTTGAACTTCACTGTAAAAAAAACTGTTGTTTGTACGGTAAAAAACCTGGCAGCTTACTTGCCAAGAATAATTGTAAATATTGGTAAACTGTACGGCTGCCCCCGATTAGTGACCAAAGGTTGTCGGGCCAAAGAGTCTTTGGTCGGTTTCAAGATCTTAATTGGTCGCTTGGTGCCGAAAAAAAATAAAAAACAAACAAAAAAAAAAACACGGGAACAGTGAGGTGACCAGTCAGGTCCACTTTGTCTTTCACGTCAATAAGCTGATGTTTTTAACCATGTCAGGCGTAAAATCAAGGGCGTTGGGGAGCATTTCGAAAAATTAACAGATCAACCCGAAGAAGGTGATATGCAAACTTTGCAGGAAATGTTCTCCTATCATTCATTCAACTACAAACATGACTTTCACCTGAAACATGTTAAGGTACCGTTCAGAGCATTAAAAGATGGCGCTCTGCGGCTCGTAGCCTTAATAAAAGCCTGTTAGATAAATGCTACTTTTCATATTTATGGGTATTGGGCTTGGTGTAAACTTAAATTAAATGTGGCATTTCTCTCTTATAGCTCGTCCACTATACGTGATAGGGTCCACCGCATCTACCTCAGACTTCATCCTTCGCAGCGCCATTGAAAACTCTCCACACGACAAAACTCGTTTGACAAGCCCCCTCTGTTCCGACGAAAAGGAAGAGGGACATCACCGACAAAATTGCAGATTTTGTGCGCACTGGACATGAGACCTGCTAACATTGTCCCAGGGGAAGGGTTCAAACAGATATGAAATTAATCGAAACGGTTTACACTGGTACCCAACTTGACACGTAATGCACGCCATTAAAAACAAATATACACGGACCAAACTGGTACTTTTGGAGAAACTTAAGCTGCACAGCGTCAGCTTCACCTACTGCACACATGCCTGCAACCAAGTGGGATGGTTACATGACTTGACGGGCACTACTTATATTTCCCAAAAATGTGCAAATGGTACATTCATTCGGTGTGGAGACTAAGTGCTGGAGGTGAGCCACACAGCTGCCAACATAGCAGAGCGACTCAGCGAAAGTGATGGAGGAGTTTGGGATTCCGCAGAAAGAGGGTCGCTGTGGTACACGGACAATGCCGTTAATATGGTGTTGTGCGCTAAACGCTATCCAAAACCCGTTCTTGGGTAATGCTCCAGGGAATTCGTTGTGCGGGGCACACCTTGGCAGTTGTGCATAAAGCGGCGGTTCAATTCGATCCCATCTGCGACGTGATGGCTGCTGCCAGACGCCTTGTGGGACACTTTAAAAAAAAAGTGCAGGCAACGCAGCTCTCACTTTGAAACAGAAGCAACAGAATGTTCTGATGACACAAACTGATTACAAGATGTGTCCACACGATGGAACTCCACTTACTTCGCACCCTCGCCTCGTGAGGTCTTCTGGAACAGGATTCCGGTTACAGCTGTGCTGTTCAGAACCCCCGGGAACCACCGCGCTCTCGCGCTCTGGCGCTTTCCTCATAACTGCCCAATGGAGGACGCGGCAGGACACTTGTTCTCGTGCCTGAGGCCATTGGTCAATCCCGACCTCACCCGAGCTGCTCTCACAGATATAAACGCATCGCTGTCTGCTAGCGCTGGCGATGCTCGGCAACATGAAGAGGCGCGCTGACTTGTTGAGTCGTTGATTGATGGACAGCACGAACCGTTGAAGTAAGGTGTGCCAGTGATTATTCGGTTTATTCGAATATTTCGTTAGTTCCATAGATCGAATATTATTTTTTATACATCGATTTATTTATTATTTTTTTATTATTATTATTTTTTTTTTCTTGGCTTAATTTCACAAATATAGGATAATTCTAGTATCTGTATTATAACTTGTAAATGGGCCATTTTGGTCACACCCGTTTGTTTTACTGTAAACCTTGGAGGAAGCGCTGGCGGGCAGGCAGACTGCTGCTGCTCCACGCTACACTACACCAGCGCCGCCCACCCCCTCCTCCCTCAACGTGGCGGACTAAAGATGAACAAAGCGGCAGTAAAAAGAGTTCAAGGAGCTGCATCATTTTTTTTATTTGTCGTTTATTTTGTTTGTACTGTTAAACATGTTCCAGTAAAGAAAACATTATTAGATTAGATATCAGATTATTATTCGCCAGGGCTTCCGAATAATCGATTTTGATCATGGTCAGTTTCTGGCAACCCTACCGTGAAGGCAGTTAAGAAAAAAATCACAGAGGAAATCGACAAAAGGTGGGAGCTCACAGGGAGTCTGGAGGGCAGTATATACATTCAAGCTGCAGTCCTTGACCCACGGTTCAAGAGCTTGTCATTCCTCGGTGCAGAGAAACGGGACGATGCATACACAACGGTGTGGGATCTGGCTGAGAGTTTATCTCCAGCAGAAGAAGCTACTGCTCAGAGAGAGGACAGCAGCGGCGCAGAGGAAAGTGAGCCCACACCAAAGAGGCAAAGGGAAAAGCAGCAGGACATATCAATGCTGATGGCCTTTGATGAAGATCAACAGACGGAAGAAGAGAAAAATGAAATGAAGACATACTTGGAGGACCGAACCAAGGTTGACAAGGGACCACTGATTTGGTGGAATATGAATGAGGAACGCTATCCCAAGCTTGCCAGAGCAGCTAAGCGCATCCACTCCATCCCTTCCACATCCACGCCATCGGAGCGCATATTTTCCAAAACCGGCTTCATTGTGAGCAAGACACGGAGCTCACTTCTCCCGGACAACACAGACAAACTCGTGTTCTTGTCTCATAATATGAGAAGACTAAGATCGGAGGGAAACCCTGAAAGTCAGGTAGTGGCCTAGCCTAATATAACACCATAGTTTTGTAGTTTATAGTTTTCGTTCTTCGTTCGTTCAACTGAAGTGTTTAAGTTAAGTTTTGCGGTATATTTATAATTTTTGTTTGCATTCCGACCTCAGGAAAAAACTGAAAGTTTTATTTTCATGTTGAGAATACTTCTCTGTAGGCCTGTTTACTTTTGCACTGATATTTAAATATTTAAGTTGGCTTGAGCCTATATTTATTTATTCGTTTGTTTATATAATTTATATTTATTTTACATGTTTAAATGTTTAAACGAAAAATATAGTTTAAATTTAGTTTTTTAACAGAAGATTGTTTTTGTTTGTTTTATAGAGTTATTGTGTTGGTTTTAAAAGTTCATAAGTTGTGTGATGTTATATGGTGTGTTGTGTTGAAATAAATTAACAAAATGTTAAGACAGTCTCCTTGTTGATTTTTCCAACACATTCAGAATCATAATTTAATTACTTGCCGGTTGCGCGAAAAAGGCGGTTTGTCTCTGCGTGCGCTTTCATTCGCGCCACTGGTCGATCAGTGGTCGACCAGTGGCCTTACCTGACGACCAGTGGTCGACCAGAAAAATCTTTGGTCGGGGGCAGCCCTACGAGATTTTGTTTAATGATGTGAAATATAATCAAGTGTTAAATCAGACTTTAGTTCCACCTGGAGTCAATTCACAAGCTACCCTGCAGTATACAAAGTCATTCAAACTAGCTGCACCTTTACCAGCTTTGAGAACACTTTAATAATCAATCATTATAAAACATATCATATATATTATTCTGAAATGGGCCAATTTGCACAATGACTACTTATATTTTGATGATAATACTTTTCTACTTTTACTTGAGCAACATTTTGAATGCAGGACTTTTACTGTAACAGAGTATTCCTACACAAGATCTGAGTACTTCTTCCACCTCTGTCTGATTTCAAACTCTTCCATTAACACCCTAAGTTTGCAGCTGTGTGTTTTGCTCCACCTTTTTGTAAATAAAACTGCAGCAGCTTGACCACAGAACGTGAATGTTGTGATCAACTGATTTTGCGCAGTTCTCCAGTGTGTGCGTGGTGCACAGGATGTGCACATGGGAGTCTCCCTCCGCCGCCAGTTGGTGTAGTTGTGGTACAATTCTGTAGTACATACATGTCTGTGCACACGGCGACCAACTCTGACGTCCAGTGATCTAAGCCTCTGCCTCCTGGAAAAGCTTCACAGGTCAGTCGGTTATGGCCTGCGCGGCTCGGCCAGCACCCAATCAGTCCAAGAAAGTCCAAAGATATTTTGCAGGGAGCCAAATGCCAAAGTGGCTGCTTAATGTCT